TTTTTTTGATTAGGTGCGCTGCGAGAACTTAGCGCACCTTTTTTTGAAAGTCTTTTTTTTTGTATTTAATGACCGGAACTATTGAAAATTGTTGCAAAGAGCTCTAGAACTTTTCAAGAGAGTATCAGAACTGCAAAAAAAATGGCATATTTTTGAATATGGTGTGCCAAGACTTGGCACACCATATTTAAAAATGTGACATTTTTTTTGCCAATAGAATGATATTTCTCTGCATGCGCAATCAACCTTTTCAATCATATGTAAAAGTGTGCCGCGTTTTGATTTACCATATTTAACGGGAAACATAACCATGCATATAAAGAGATCTTTCTGTAAACTAATCATGCATTTTTAAGCTTCTATACTCAATTGCAAAAGCGCAGCAATGTTGTTTGGATTTCTCCTGAACATAAATATATATTCGGTATGTAGAATCTACAGAAATTCGTAACAGGCAAATATTTTAGCTAATTGCCAAATGAAGATATGAATTTTTATTATATTTGTATTGTTTTAGTCAAATATTGAGTAACGCTCTAACGCTTTATTTTTACACGCACTTTCATCCTGTAATTCAATGTAGCCGAATTTTACTGGTAAAGCTTTCAGGTATGGCATTCCCTTAAGCATACAAGAGTAATAACAAAGTGATCTTTAAAAAACAGAAATACAATATATATTTTTCTGTACGTATATATTGAACACGAGTTTGTCCCGCTTAGAAAAATGTTAAGAAACATTGACATTGCTTTATCTGAATTTGGAAGCTCAAAAATACCGGGAAGATATGCAGAAAGATTTCTATATAGGCGTGATTAGGTGTTTCCCACTAAATATGGTAAAACGACACACATTTGCGTAAAATCTAATTTAATATATACAAGAACCACGAAAAGGATAGAGCATGGCTGTTAATCACAATTGTCACTGCGTTAATCACAATTGTCATCAGCATTTTGAAAGTTCGTCATCGACTTCAGCATCTCCTTAATTCACTGTCTTCTATTCCACCGACTGCTGCGCGAAGCCCGTGTCATAGTATAGATTGGAAATTAAGGATTGCGAATTAAAGATTAAATTTCGACGAATCAGTCACTTGCACTTTGGTCTTGGCCTGCTTGGCTCAAATTGGTCAAATTCCAATCTTCAATCCGCAATCCTCTATCTCCAATCCGTAGTATGACATGGGCTTTAAGGATATTACGAAATACTGATACACTCGCGAATCGAGCTTCCCTCAATGGTAGTACTGATATCCAATAGCAAATAAGTAGAAAAGAGTCGATAGAATTTAAATATGCCTAGATACAACATTCTCTCTATCTTCCTCACGAACTCTATATCGTAATCGATAGTGCCCAGTTCTCGAATACGCTATTCAAATTCCAAAGCGCAAATTGCGTGCCAATAGAAATCGATAATATCGCGCTTTCTACGTAATCGGGCACGTAATTAAAAATCATGCTTTTTCGGGCGACTCGTAACGTGACGCGCCACAGTTCGCGAACGTTCTCACATCACATTCCGAGTCGAGATTTAGGATTCTACTCAAAGGCCCATATTCTGAATCCTCTTTTATCTATAAAAGTGCCTCTAAAAGAGGCTTAGGAGCCACCTGATTGGCTGAGAAGCTATATTTAAGACACTTTTATCGATAAAAGAGGATTCAGAATATGGACCAAAGTCTCGAAAGTGCTTAGCAATGTCGTCCTTGAATGCTCTTTGCGCTACTCGTTATGTTAACGTAACGATGCTAGACAATCTGGAATTTCTCGTCTCGTTTTGTTCGTTTCTTTCGACGCTCCCTGTTTCTCGAAATTTTTCTTAGGCGCTTACAATGTTTCACTGAAATGCAAAAGCTCGATTAAGCAAGGAAAGTGTGCGACGCGAGAAAGTAGTTGAACAATTCGCAAGAAATGCAAACTCATCTTTTTCCATCCCAACAGTCGTCATCAATGAGTGCCGAGTGATCACACTCCGGTGCAACCAAATTTCACCGGTAAAGCTTTCAGGTATCCCCTTAAGGGGATACTGAAATCGAAATCTTTACCGACATTGACTATTTTCTGTTCAATTTTCTGCCTGCAAAGTTTACGTCATACTGACTGCACAGAATTAGAAGTTTACTCTTACACGGTAAAAATATGTGCGAGAATGAACTGGAGCATTGCTCAATATATGATGAAAACGATAAAAAATTTCAAAGTTGATATTTCGAATATAAATTGCTCTGTTAGATGCTGTCAATTCTGACATTCGCCTGATACAAAAGTTCTGTAGTCAAATTCATTTTTGTGTTTCGCGGATTTTTCCAGATGCTTCTATTCAGTCCCGAGCCGACGAGCGACACGCATACTACCAGACTACGTGTGTCAGTGTGTTACCTATTGTTTCCCCACACAACATTCGAGTCCTTCAAGGCGGTCAAATTTACCCGCGTGCCTCGCGACTTCGCCGGATGTTCCCATTCAGTTTCGGGCCAGCGAGCAACACGCACACAACGGACTACGTGTGTCAGTGCGTTATCTATTGTTCCTCCCGGGTGATTGAATTATGTCGTCGGTATTTTGATATACTTAATCAGTCTATCCACGGCATCGCGTTATTAAACACGTGTCTTCGATCGAATCGTGTCGTGCGCGAGTGTAAGTGTCAGTGTCGACGGAGCAGTCAGGATCAGTGTTGGGTCGAGAAGCCATGACAGAGGATGCAAAGCGCCGGGCAGTGATACTTCATATATTTTTCAAGGTATGTCGAATCATTTATTATACAGGAAGTTTCCGTCTTTAACAGACATTTGACGAATTTACCGCGAATAAAGAAATACCCGAGTCGAAATTTAGGCCGACATTCATGGATTGTCATTATTCAACAAACACTGAGAGAAATATGTTTCGCATTTGTAATTATAATCACGTAGAGAAATAATAATTATAAATTATTGTCAGAAAAACCATTTTATTGTTAAATTTTATGATGTTAGTTAATGTTAAATGATGTTAGAGATAATAATCTTATATACCTGTTACTACTATCATTTTCGTATTAGAATCACCAAAAAATATAGCCAAAAATAACTTTAACGTTATACCAACCATTTTTTCTCTCAGTGCATAATTATAGCTTCATTTTGATTTCTGATTGATCTGCACTTGTTTCATCACTTCATGCAAAAAATGTATGTCTAAATAATTGAATAACAAATACGAACTTATAATTAATCATGCTTTCATACAAAGCTTCTAAATAATTCACAGCTATGAATAGCGGCCTTATAATATAATATAAATCTCGCAAGTGCTGATTTTCAAGTCTAATAATGCTTCTCTAGTCGCGAATTCAATCTTGTTGGTATCAACCAACGCCTTTTTTTGCTTTTCTTTGGCCTTTGTTATTGTGCCAAAACTAAAATTAAATCGCTATTGATAAAAAGCATTATTGGTCACATAACTGTTATTTTTGTCTTTTCAGCTTGACACATCAGCTCTTTCAAGAGCTACAAATCTCATCAAATTCCCATAAAAAAAAAGAAAAAAGAAAAATTAGGAAGAGATGAGATTGACGTTTTGTTCTTTTACCGATTTACCCACACTTTTAATCCTTATTAAGTAATTTAACATTTGCTTATCTATATAAAAATTTCTTTGTGATATAACCACACTTCGCCAACTGCCAATCGCGTGTGTATATTTGCCAACTGATATATTAACGTATAATAACGTCATATTTCGCTTATTGTCAATTATCGTATAATTTATGATGGAGTATTAAGCAATTATCAAGATTGTGGCAGTCTGTTTTTTCAGCTCGTGGCAGGATATCTTTCTGAAGACTCCAGGAGTCTCACGTATGAGTGGAACACGCGTTGCTGCAATAATTTCTCTAACATCCACTATTTCTCACTCTTTCGTTGGAAGCCTCTTGCCCGGGCACTTGGCACGTGTTTAGCTTCACATATTGACCATAGGATAGATCTAGTAACAGGGATTAGATAGATGGCAGGAGGGAAGAACAGAAACATAGACGAATGGCAGTGTTGGTTTTGTACATTCGATGCATTCGGGCGCTGAATTTTTCCGGGATTTTCTCCGCGGAGCGAAGGATCAGCTCTGATCGCGTCGCACATCTCGAAATTTTGTTGTCTTGTTCGAAAATATCGAGTGGAACATCGGATCCTGAATCTTCTTCGTGGAATCGCAGTTATTTCGGTCCGCGCGAATTAAGGGTGATCTAATTGTACCAAAATACCGAATATTCAATAATTACAAAATAATTAAAATAACAAGTGCAGAAAAGTTTAAATTTTAAGTAATTATTGCACGGGCATTTCGTACTTCTTCAGCTTCTAGAGAAAACGACAGTAAATAACCATCTGCAGCATCAAGGTAAGCCAACAGCTTGTACATCTAGAGATTCTTTATTGACTCTTCAAGTTTGTGATAAAATTTGTAGGGTCAATGTAGAATCAAAATTTTGACTCGGGTCCAATCCTTCTCTTCAGCGTTAATGAGACCGGAACTTGTTGTTTTCTCTCTCTCTCTCTCTCTCTCACTCACTTTTTCTCTCGCCCTCTCACCCTCCCTGCCACCTCGATTCTCCCCAGAGCGTGATTAGGAGATATTCGAGTCCGCTGCTCTCTCTCCTTCGGGTATCGCTCAATCCCATCTCATTACTCTTAATCGACTTGTAATCCACATCGGTTTTTCTCGTTACCGAGCGCTCGGACCTTCGCAAGGCATGTAATAATACACTCGACGTGTATTTACCTCCGCTCATGGGCGCCACGAAGCCCCAAGAGCTGTGGAATTCGCGCTAGCGGGTACAAAGCGCATTTACGAACGCAAAAGCGTGTCGCGACTGTATTATGCGCATACACGCATCGCCTTCCTCGGCGAGTCCAATTCGACAATCGAAATTCCACTGATCAATCCTTTGTATCCGTTATCTCGTTACAGCGAGATGTTCATTTCAGAGATCTTCGGCACATGTATACACACAGAACAATATTAATCCACTGCTAAGGAAAACGATCGGTCAGTTTGCTCTTTCTTTTTTAAGTAATGGTTATCTTCAAGAAGAATATTTGTTCGATTTCTTTTTAAAACTACACTCATCGCGAACTTGAGAAGAGCTCATTATCATGTACTCAAAAGAAGACTATTCTCTTTACACTGCGAAAAAATATTTGAGAATTTATTTACGGGTCACAAAGTTTACGTCTGAGATATGAAGTTTACTTCCCTGTGAAATAAACTTTACACTCCAAAAATAAATTTTCAAATACCTTTTTCTCAGTGTACAAGAATATTAGAAAATTAATTGATTTGTTACATTATAATATCGGTGTATATGCTTTCTCAAAGGCCGTTGAATGATTTTATTTTGATTAAATGTTATAAAATTTGATCAAGAAGAAGTCAACTCTATGTAGTAAGCAAGCCGGATTCGTGTTTCAATTTAATATTCTTGATTGAAGCATCAAACTTACTAAGATTCAGAATATACTTTGTATTAATTTGATGGACTCATGATAAACTCTTATGATAGATTCGCAGATATATAAACTTATGAAATATTTGAAACAAGTAACTTTTGAACGCAGTAACTTTAGAATGCAGTATATATGTATTTTTCTGTGTGTATAATCCACAGAGTTTAAAATACTTGCAGTGTAAAATTTATATGCTGATCTTGTTGCGAACGATTTGTGAAATAATTAAAAAAAATGTAAAATTCTTAGAAATGTCATTTTGCGGAATTATTTTGCTCTGAGGAATTAGGATTCAAGAAGTTAACGCAATCGGGACATTCGTGAATTGCACGGCTATCCTTATTTCCTTATTCATTAGTGAAAAATTAGGTCTGTTCTTTAGTTCATTAGGTCTGTTCTTTTTAACTGACCCGGTGCAGACTGGTGCAGTAAGTTAGAGTGAAACAAAATATATTTGCTTTACTCTAACTTACTGCATCAGTTCAGATAGTTCAGCTTCACAAATATTTCATTTCGCGGGAATATCGTGATGCTTTTTCCTCAAATTCTGAATTCCGGGGATTTTACTAACAGAAAATAACTGAAAATTTATTTGTAGGATATATATATAAAGTTCGCTTCTGCAAAGTAAAACTTATTTCTGTGAATAAACTTTATATCCCACAAATAAATTTTCATGTCTCTCTTCTCAGTGTAATTGAGGGATCTTTGCGTTCATCCGCGTAACGAGAAAATCGGTTGGTCTTATTAATTTTCACGGAAGAATGCGACGAATTTCATTTTCGGCCGCGACCTTCGCGCGCTGTGCAATCTCACGGTGACCGCCGATTACGTGCGGTAAATAATGCATTGCCGCAACACTTTCTGCGCGGGTATATGAGAATCTACGCGCTGCCCGGAGCCGCTTCAATTGCGCCCTGATACGAGCGCGTTCGTTTCACACGGCGTTATAAACTTCGATTTTCCCGCTAATACAACGTAACGACTGCATTCTCCGCCGGGGAAGTCACCGACGCGCCTTTCTGCGCCCGCGCGATATTAATATCTTGCATTTAATATTGCGTTATTTACCTTGCGTTCCACCTCATATCGCGTAAACCCCCCTTCGCTTAAATGCCGCGCTGAGCGGCACGGCATTTCATTTAACAATGAAATGAATGAATTCCCGGGACTTTGTACCGGCAACACGGCGGCGGCGACGGCGGCGTGGTAGTGACCGCCTAGTTATATTCGATATAAATTTCAACATACAAGCTCGATGTCTCGTTCTGTCTTTTTCTTCTTTAGGCGCGCCTAGTGTATTTTTTCTCCAGAGAATAAAAGATCGTTCCGCCGAATTTTCTACTTGGCGCGTCGCGTTCGACGAGATGGAGCGAGCTTTCGTTTTAATCTTCGTTCGAAACTTAATTCAGAGACGCACGTGGGTTATCGATAGGGTAACCGAGCGACGCTTAAGCGTAGCTCTGGGCACTGGCTGTAATTGGACTCGATTAATTGGGGTCTCGATCAAGAAACCGAATTCGGGTACGTAGTAGATAAGCGATGACCAAAAGCTGCCATCTCGGTTTGTCCAATTGATCATACAGCAGCAGCGTCGTTTGCTCGGAAAATTCGGTAAAACATGCGCGGGAACTCCACGAGGTGACGGAGAAAGAGCGAGAGGGAGGAGGAGGGAGAGAGAGAGAGAGGGAAGAGAGCTAGTTCGTTAAACGCGTGCAGATTTTTCGTCAGAAATTATAAATATAAGAAAACGATCTCAATTATATAAGCCAAAATTCTTTTCGATTTTATCATATTTTCTAGCAATATAAGAATGAACTGTATTAGTAGAGTTTATCAGAAACATAGTAAATTTTTTACACTCAGTATATACTGAGAGAAAAAATATCTGAAAAATAAAAAGTATTAATTCTGCGGGTACCAATAATATGTGTACTTTGTTTGGAATTCTTTTGTTAAATAGAATAAACAGTTGCTACAGATGATATGATAAAATCGAAAAATAATCCTAATATATTTCGGGCTTATTAACATATTAAGAAAATTATTAAGTACACATTGAAAACACGGAAAGAACTTTTCTTTATATTAACAAGATATGTAAAAAGCCTTTTTGTTAGCATACAGCTAATGTAAGACTTTAATGTAAGAGCCACCTGACACACACACACACACTGTCAAACGTTATTATTCTGCCTCAATTTAAAATTTAACTTCGCATTAAACATGCGTGACTGGCTCTTACGTAAAGGCTTTA